GGGGGGGGGGGCATAAAGTGGAGATGAAAGCAGACGACAGAAAATTATTAGAGGCCAGAAAAGCAGGCGAAAGGAAATATCTTTTTCCAGAGAAGAAAATATGAACGAGAGGCGAACACCATACATCAGACCACGGGACCCGGTCCCCAAGTCCTTATTTCTACCCTGAATTCACAAGCATGCGATGAAATTGCACTAAACTTTGAAACGTTTGGAACAGCTGACCGTATGTCCTGCATGGAAAACATAGAGGTAACGATGGAAAATAACTTTATCACTAAAACATCTTTTAAACTGCTGACAAATCTATGGATTTTCAAAGTACAAAATCTGTAATCTTTGATCGACACGAAACTGTGATTCCGTATTTAAACAGAAAGAACATGGGAGAGCAACAAGTGTGGTCGTTTACTGGATATGACGAAATTGGAACACCCTCCCCATAGCATAGCACAAACATTATTGCGTTTACTCACGTGGCCAGAAATAGTTGTTGGTCCCATTCTTGACACCATTCCAGCGAGCCCAGCGCACACGACGAAAACATACATGTTCGAGAAGCATTTGCCGAGCAGCTTGCTTCGGAACGGTCCAATGCCGAAGCTCAGATCCACCTCATCGTCTTCCTCGTCGAGAGGAGGCGCAACGGGCAGTGCCTGAAGGGAGGACGGTTGTGAGGTGTACGATTAGATGAAAAATGAGTGCGAGATGAAATATGAGTGTGACTAGGGGGATAAGTTGTAAAGCGCATAGAGTATGTTGTGCAGAAAGGGTTTCAAATTCAAATAACTTGGAAGGGGGGGGGGGGTGCTTGAGTTAGAGTCTGGGTGAACCTGGGCCTCATCAAGTATTCCACATTTTTTAAAAAAGAATTTCAAGCACTTAAAGGGAAAAAGTACAACTGATCTAATCTTTTCAGCACTTCTCAACATGAACGGTTCTACAGAACTATAACCTACTCCTTTCTGCCAGAGACCAGGTGGCGCTTACTCTTACATTGCTCAGCCATAATATTTGGCTTGAGGGAGGGTGCAAGTGAGACCCTCAACATGGCATGAAGATGCTCATCAATAGCTTTGGATCTGGGAAAGAGCTTTTCGCACAGACATGAGCTACCAGAAAAAGTAATTCCAACAAAAGATGCCTTAGACGAAAACATGCAACACTAATACTAGTCTTTAATGACAAATAGAGGACGGGGGGCTACAAAATGTCCTGAAACCCTCACATGGACCGTGAGCCGCGATTTGAAAGCCCTGCATGGATACGTGCTACATAAATGTTGTTTTATCACGATTATTGCTTTTAAGTTCGAAAAAGGGGGATGGATAGAGAAAGACAGAGAGACAGGAAGACAGATAGCCAGAGAGACAGGGGGAAAGACAGGGAGCGGAGACACACAGACAGAGAGAAAGAGCGAAAGAGAGACCAGACAGACAGACAGACAGACAGACAGACAGACAGACAGACAGACAGACAGACAGACGGAAACAGATAGGACGATTAAGAGATTCTATTTTGCTCCTTGTCGAAAATCTTTAAAGCAGAAACAGACGCTTAAGTTGTCTATTTTGCTGTCTCTGTCTCCTCCCTCTCTCTCTCTCTCTCTCTCTCTCTCTCTCTCTCTCTCTCTCTCTCTCTCTCTCTCTCTCTCTCTCTCTCTCTCTCTCTCTCTCTCTCTCTCTCTCTCTCTCTCTCTCTCTTTCACTCTTTACACTTTTTTTTTTCGTTGTATTTTATGGCTGATAGTTCAGTTGCATCTATACTATATATATATATATAATATATAAGTGGACTTGGGAGGCTTTGTGCACAAACTCCTCCCTTATTACTTAACCATCACCTTTGAAACTTTGCAGGTGTCCACAGCATCCATGCGACTAGGACTTAACTTTAAAGAATCCACGCAAACAGTTTTCCCCGATTTTTCCAAAAAGCTTTGTTTCGTCCACACAAGTTCTAATCTTGTGAAAGTCTGTCTTCTAAGACGCCATTGTAACAAAGAGTCTACATAACAAGAGGGTCCACTCCTCTCATTCAGCCAATTAAAAAAGTGCCCTAAAAATTGGGTGGTGCCCTCTTCGCAAATGCGCACCCTTTGCGAACAGAGTTACCCTACTTGTGTTAAAAACATCCAAGTGAAACTAACAAGTCTTTGAATAAATAAGAATTCAAATTTCGGAAGAACGCTTTTATTAATGGTTACACTGACAAAAACCTCTTCCGAGGGAAGAGGTGACTGTTTTCTTCGTTTAATTTGACTTTAGAATGAAAGGTGAGAGGTCATTAAAAATTTTGAAAAAAATAAAACTCCCCACTGAACAAACCCGAACAGCTGATGAGCAGCAGTCGATCTGCGCATGCAAGGAGGTGCTATTCCTATTCTTCTTCCGGAGGAACGAAAGAGAGCTTCAAAACAGACTGCAGCGCCATCTGAAGCAAAGAGCGGACTTCCGGCGGACACTTTTTGGCTGAGTGGACCATCTTGTTATGTACTATCTTTGATTGTAAACAAGCGAGGTTTCCGTTCACTTGCCGTGCGCACTATTCCACACCTTTGAAATTCTGGAGTGTACAACCACGAAAGCTGAAAAAAGAATCAACCTATACCTAGATCTATTACATTTTTGGCAACTTGCAAACACGTTGTCAGTTTTCTCTCAGAATGTATTGTTCTATTCAAGTAGAGTGTAAATATAGTAGGCCAATGACTTTCAGTTGATGTTAATGTACCTATCATCCCTTTCATCGAATGGGGGCCCAGCTAGTTAAGTATAAAATGTTTTGTCTTACCTTGATCTTCAAGCTGTTGTCCTTGGGGTCATTGACATATCCCCCGTTGTCGTGAGCTTGTTGGTCTGACATCTGGGGACAGAATTGCAAGCTGGTTATCTCTCTCTCTCCCTTTCCCTCCCTCCCTCTCTCTCTCTCTCTCTCTCTCTCTCTCTCTCTCTCTCTCTCTCTCTCTCCCATGCCTTTATTCCCCCAAAGTACATGCATGTATAACTATGTTTGTGTAAATTTGTGTGTGCATGTGTTTGTTTTGTGTGAGAGAGAGAGAGAGAGAGTGTGTGTGTGTGTGTGTGTGTGTGTGTGTGTGTGTGTGTGTGTGAGTGTTTGTGTGTGTGTGTGTATTTGTGTGCGTGTGTTTGTGAGTGTACGTGTATATGTTTGTATGTATCTACTCTAGCTACCACCACTCCTAGACAATCACACAAGCACAGACGACAGCCGTTAATTTTTTTTGTGACAATGGATGGCCATTTTCGAAAATTTCGACCGTATATTACTGACTGGCAAAAGAAACATGGAAATGTATAGTACCACCTGTGTTGACCAATCACATCACGGTACTCATATGTCACATATTTTGAGTGACGAATTGGGGCTCACTGAAACATAATATACTCTTTATCTTTACAGTCTGGGCCTCAAAATGTTTGAATTGGTAGGATACATTTGATGCACCAAGATACCAAGACTTTCAAAAGAACATTATGGGTGGGTAGTTGGCGGGTGTTCTTGTGTTGTTTGCTTCTTCTTTTCTATCAAATACCTATCGTCCTTATCTTTTCTCCTTCTTTTCTTGTGTTTGTTACTCTCTTGTCACACCTCGAATCTTTGGCACTTATATGGCCTAATTGGGTTGCAAATGTCGTAAAACTCTTACTAGAATTAAAAGAACATCATGAAAGAGGAATCGGTTGACCGCAAGCCGGTGAACCCCACTCAGGAGGTATCAGTGGCCGTGGCGTTCACGATCGTCCTTCGCCTGTGTGGAAGTGGTCCCTCGCCACTAACATCAC